AGAGGGAAGATCCTTGTACTTTACCAAATCTTAGTGGGAAAGTTTCAAGTTTCTCACCATTAAGTATGATGTTAGCTATAGACTTTTTGTGGATGTTCTTATCAAGTTGAGAAAATTCCCCTCTAGTCCTAATTCACTGAGGTTTTTATCATGAGTGGGTGTTGGATTTTGCCAGATGCCTTTTCTGCTTCAATTGATATGATCATGCAATTTTTCTTTTTAGCCTGTTGATGTGATAGATCACATGAATTGATTTTTTAATGTTAAACCAGAATTACATAAATCCTACTTGGTTGTGGTATATGATTCTTTCTGTACATTGTTGGATTTGATTTACTAATATTTTGTTGAGGACTTTTGCATCTATGTTCACAAGAGATAATGGCCTGCAGTGTTCTTTTCTTGTAATACCTCTGTCCGGTTTGGGTATTAAGGCAGTGCTGCACTGAAGGAATGACTTAGGAAGTATTCCCTCTGCTTCTTTTTGAAAATGTTATGGAGAGTTGTACGATTTCTTCCTTAAATGTTCAAAATAATTTACCAGTGAATTCATGTGGGCCTGGGACTTTCTGCTTTGAAAGGTTATTATTGATTTAATTTCTTTAATAGGTATAGGCCTGCTCAGATCATCTATTTCTTCTTGCATGAGTTCTCACAGATTGTGTCTTTCAAGCAATTGGTTCATTTCATCCAAGGTATCAAATTTGTAGGCACAGAGTTGTTCATAGGATTCTTATAGTATCCTTTTAATTTCCATGGGGTCTGTAGCGATATCCTCCTTTTCATTTTTGATATTAATAATTTGTACCCTCTCTTTTCCTTGGCCTGGCTAGAGGCTTCCATTTTATTGATCGTTTCCAAAGAATCAGCTTTTCTCTATTGATTCCTATATTCAGTTTCATTGATTTCTGCTCTGATTCTTGTTTTTTTCTGCTTACAATGGATTTAATTTGCTCTTCCTTTTCTAGTTTACTAAGGTAAAAATCTAGATTATTGATTTGAGATCTTTCTTCTTTTCTGATACATACATTCAATGGTATCAATTTCCCTCTAAGCACTGCTTTATCTGCATATCTCAGATTTTGGTAAGTCATGTTTTCATTTTCATTTAATTGAAAATATTTTAAAATTTGACTTGAGATTTCTTCTATGTGTGTGTTATTTATAAGTGTGTTTTTAATCTCCATGTGTTTGGGGATTTTCCAGTTATCTTCCTGTTACTAATTTCTAGATTAATTTCACTGTGGTCTGCAAGCAGACATTGTACGCTTATTATATTAAATTTGTTAAGGTGTGTATTATGGACCAGAATGTGGACTGTCTTGGCCCATGTTCCGTGTGAACTTGAGAAGAATGTGTGTTCTGCTCTCGTTGGATGAAGCAGTCTGTGGATGTCCATGATATGCAGTTGATTGAATGGTCCTTACTGATTTTCTGCTTGCTGGATCTGTCCATTTCCAGTTAAGAGGGGATGAAGTCACCAACTATGATAGTAGATTCAACTATTTCTCCTTAAAGGTCTATCAGTTTTTGCCTCATGTAGTTTGACACTCTGTTGTTATGTGCATACATATCAAGAATTGTTATGTCTTCTCATCCCTGATGACTTCCAGTACTTTGAAGTCTACTCTGTCTGATTTAATATATCTACTCCTGCTTTCTTTTGATTAGTGTTAATATGGTATATTTTTCTCCATGCATTTATTTTTAATCTGTGTGTGTCCTTATATTTAAAGTGGGTTTCTTTAAAACCCCAAGATATAGTTGGGTCATGTGTTTTGATTCACTCTGAGAATCTCTGTCTCAATGGTGCATTTAGGGCACTGACATTCTGAGTGATTACTGATACAGTTAGATGAATATGTGTAATATGCATTACTACTTTTTATTGATTACCCATGTTCTTTGTCCCTATTTTTGTCTTCCACTCTTTTTCTGTCTTATGTGTCTAGTCCTTTTTATACAGTTATGACAATTCCTTTGTTCTTTTCTTTTTAAATTACAGAATTGCAAAGTAATTCAAAGAGTACTGGGATGTCTAAAGTACAAAGTTATTAAAAATAAAGGCAGTCCCTGTCTGGGAGAAGCCTTCTGGTGTAGACTGAGACAGAAGATAAAAGGGGCCATGGAGTCAGGGGATGCCTTGGTCAGAGTTGGGGACCTGGGTCTCGTTGAAGGCAGCAGTATCTAGGAAAATGAGATTTGGGTAGCAGGGGCAGTGCCAGGAGAAGGAAATGGGGAGGGTGAGGTGTGGAAGGGAAATTAAACTGACTAAGAAGAGAAGTTAATTTTTATTTCTATGTTAAGGTCCACTTCTTAAGAAAATTATTTTCAGGGGGCAAAATCCCCCTTGGGATGGGAAGGAAATTAAGAAGTTATTTAATAAACAGGTGCAGTTGAATGTGTATAGTTAAAGTACAATCCAGTATTTATTTATTTGTCAGGGCTGTTTATAATCTGCTTCCGATTTAGACAAGTCGTTTTGACGATGATGCCCTGTCTCATTCAGGCCACTTAACACCGTTGGCCTTTCAGGGAGTTGATATGTATGATCAGACGATCAAATGCTTTTGTAAGGTCTGTAAACAGAACCACCCTCTTGGTAAACTCAGTATTGCATCACAGTAGCCAGCTGCTTTCTTCTGCCCATTCACTAGAGAATGAAACTTTCTTGACTCAAGTCAACTTGGAGTCTTTGCAGAAAGGAGGAGCTTAAAATTATTGAAAGCCTTAAGTTAGCATATGATCTTTAATTTGGGCATTTGGCTGGCACTGTATGTCACCTTAGAGCAGCAATTCTTTTTTTTTTATACTTATCTTTATTGGGCCTCATTTGTTCTTCTTTTTCCAGTTTCAATAATTGTGACTTTAGACTATTCATTTGGGATTGTTCTTCCATTAGAGTAGCAATTCTTGACCCTGCTATGTGTTAGAATTTTTAAAAATCTTAATGTTCACTGAAATGCAAGGACACGTGAATGTTATGAACGTAGTTAAATTGTTTTCAGAGTTCTGTGTTTCTGGCGAACTGCAAACATTTGATTCAAAGGTTTCTATCTACTTTTCTAATTGTCCTAAAAATTATGCATAGTCACCATATTATACACCAAATCTTAACATACTGAAAATTACTAATGAGCTGTCTCCTCTATGACTTTCATTATAGTAATGAATACTATCAACCAGAATGTACCACATCAATTCACATACCACTGTGATCTGTTGATTTGTGACCCCCCCACCCAACCAGTTTTTGAATTTCCCTGCTTCTGGTGCTAAAGCCAAGATGGGATTCTGCGTAAGATTTTGGGAGAAACTGTGCTGCATGAATAAAAATATATAAGCCACAGGCCTTTCCTTACAGGGTTTGTTTCAAAGTTTATCATTTTGCAGGTTAGGTTGGCTTATTTTGAGGCCCAACCCCACCCACTAGACTGGGCTTAGAGCTTCACCTCACGAGTACTTGGGCTCGCCTGCTGTTAATCAGCTGAATCCACTTCATATAGGTTTACTCCAGAGCAGCTGCACTTTGCTTTTGCAGACGGAAAAGGGAAGCTTTCATGGGAGTGGGAGTGAGCTGCAGCTGTGGGTGGCAGTGGGTGGTCCAGAGATGGTGTCATTGTCCAGAGGCCATTGGAGTGTCCTCTAAGGATCCAGAGATGCAGAATCTTCCAGTCAGAAAAGGTCTTAGCTAGCAGCATTTTGAGGACAAATTATGGACTTGGCCCTGTGCAGGGGCTTCACAGATGTTATTTAGCCTTTTCAATAACTATGAGGCATACATTATTATCCCCATCTTACAGGTGATAAAAACTGAAGCTTGGGTAGGTTAAGTAACTTACCAAGGTCACAGCCAGTAAGTGACAAAGCCAGCATTAGCATAAGTGCGAGGCTGCTCCACGGCCTTCTTAGAAATCATTTTATAGATGGTAAGATCAAGGGTCAGACAGGAAAAGCAACTCGTCTAAGATGACCCAGACAGGTCCAGTTCCTGGCAAAGCTATGACTAGAATTCACCTGTTCCTTTGGCCACACTTGCCGTGCCCAGCCACTGCCAAGGGGAAGGCCACAGGGTGTGCCCCTCCCACCATTTCCGCGGCTCAGGCACTTTCAGTGTTATCCGGGTATGGAATGAGAAAATGAACTCACCTTATTTCCCTACCTCCAAGTCTGTTCTTGTTGAGAAGAACATGGAGCAGGCAGGCAGAGGCGAGTGTGGGAAAGCATATTCCCAATCAGGAGGCAGGGAGCTGGTGGGCGAATCTGGGCTGTGCCCTGGAGAGCAGCCTGCCTTCCTTATGCCACGGGGTCCGCACTGTCACTTGCCCCCATTGTCAGCGTGTGGGCATCTAGGCAGCAGGAATCTGCTTCAGCCCTTCACATTCAGGTTTGTGTGTGCTTAGCTTAAAGCTGCAGCAGCCTGCAGGAGCTCAGCCCAGCCTCCATCCATTGGAAGGAGGAGGCAGTAAGGAATGCCCTCCACGTGGTGTCCTGGGAGTAGCTGCATTTGAAACTAAAAGGTGCAGAACCAAAGAAAGGTGCAGAACTCCCTCCAACCAGCCCTCAAATCAAGAAAGAAGTGTTTAATTTCAGCCAGACTCTAAGACAGTTGCTTTTATTTGTTTTCATCTGAATTTGGCCAAGGATTCAACTTTTTCTGCTTGTTTTATTAAAAACTTTATAAACAGCATTAATAAGCAGATATAAAACTGTCACATAAATGACAGAAGGACTAAATGCAGTTCCCAAGGGTCAGCTGTTGAGTAAGTACCAGAACCACCTCCTTGCATGATCAAATTCCCATATATGCAAATTAAGGGCAGTGGTTTACCATGGAGTGTTTTAATTAATATTTATAAATCACAGAGCACCTCAGAAAGGTCCAGTAAACTATTTATATTATCATGTCACACAAATAACAAACCCTTTGATGGCTGCTGCCTACTTTGCATTTTGGTCTGAGAAGTAAGCAAGCATTTTGTGTGTATATCCTCCCATAGGTATAGTGTCAGCCCAGCGGCAGGTTGCTGTCCAGGAAGGACCCTTGTACCGCATGGAGGGCTCCCACATCACCATCTGGTGCAACGTGAGTGGCTACCAGGGACCTTCTGAGCAGAATTTCCAGTGGTCTGTTTACCTGCCCTCTGCCCCAGAGCGTGAGGTCCAGATCGTCAGCACTGTGGACGCTTCATTCCCTTACGCCATCTATACCCAGCGTGTCCGCACTGGGAAGATCTATGTGGAGAGAGTCCAGGGAAACTTGGCCTTATTGCACATCACTGATCTTCAGGCCCGGGATGCTGGGGAATATGAATGCCACACACCCAACACGGACGAGCGGTACTTCGGGAGTTACAGTGCCAAGATGAACCTTGTGGGTAAGGAGACAACTGTTTTCACATGGCCAGTGTCCTGCATGAGCGTCACAGTCACTTCAGACTTCTAGAACAAATTATCACAGACTGGATGGCTTCCAACAAACTTGTTTCTCTTACAGTTCTGAGGGCTGGAAGTTCAAGGTCAGGTACTAGCAGAGTCAGTTCTGATGAGGGCTGTCTTCCAGTTGCAGACTGCTGACTACCTGTTGTACCTTCTCATGGTGGGAAGGGAGCAGGGGAGCTCACTGAGGGCCCTTTGTAAGGGCACTAATCCTATTCATGAGGGCGCCACCCTCCTGACCTAATCACCTCCCAAAGGCCCCATCTCCAAATACTATCACACTGAGCATTGGGATTTGTCACATGGATTTGGCCAGGGGCAGAGGGAGGGAGTGTAAACATTCAGTTCTTAACACTGAGTCACTTCTTTTATAATACAACTTTATTTGACTTAACAAAAAAAAATCAAGTTCCCCAAATATTTTAAAGCCCAACACGTAGTGTAAGTGAGCAGAGTTTTCATGTTCATTTGTAAATAATAGCAGGTAGAGGCTGAAGGTTAAAAAAGATCTAAAGCAGATATTAAGAATTCACAGAAGGTTAACTGGCCCTCTAGCTGGTGAAAGGGCATGTGAAAATACAAGGCAAAGATGTTTGTCGTTGTTGATCTGAAGAAATGATGATGAAGAAGTATATGACATCAGGGGGCAGAGCAGCGAAACCTCTGGAAATGATGCCTTTGGCCGGGCCCGGAGATGCCTGCGTGCTGCTGAGTCAGACCGTGAGTGCAGCTCAGGTCCTCGCTCAGACCTGGAACACATCGGTAGGCCCTTCGGCAGCGTGAGTGAGGGATGGTGCAGCAGCAGTCTCCCTCGGCCCAGGCTGCCTGAGTGATGGAGGGAGCTGGCAGTAGAGGGATGGGGCTGGGCCACAACATTTCCTAGTATGAAGGGCCAGTAACATCAAGGCTCTTCTGTTGTTCTGCCCAAGTCGTAATTTCCAGGCTTAAAACCTGAAAACTAGGACTTGGGCAGAAGAACAGAACAGCCTTGTACTATTGACCCTTCCCATCGGCAGACGTGGCCCAGGGCTGCCCACGTGAAATCTCCCCGCTCTCTCCACCTCAGGCTTCCTTTGGTTACTTTTCGTTTCTTACACAAGTCGGCATCCCAGCAGGAGTCCTGGCAGATGCCATCCTGAGATGAGTGCAGTGAGACAGCCCAGTTGTGACTGAAGTGTCCTCACCAGTTGAAGAGGGGTGGTGTTTAGTCTCCAGAGTGAAATGTGACCAAGGGACCACAGGGGGTAATTTCTCCCCTTGCCTGAATCATCCGCATGGTGGCTCCCCTGCAGTAGGGCCACTTTGATTCATGAATTATATGAAAATGAAACCTACTGAAAAGTTGAGGATGCTGCTGCTTTTCTCAATGAAAAGGTCTTTTTAAAACATAGCCTTCCTAGATCAATGCATTCCTGAAGGAAGTTAGGGTAGGTGCAGGGGTAGCGGGGCCAGAGGGAGGAAATGGGTACCTTGTGTAGAAATGTCAGACCCCAAGTTCTAGGGACTATTTCCAGTTGAAGATCGGTCAGAAGCCAGGTTAAAGTATCTTGAAGCAATGCCAAAATGAACAACAAAATCTTATTTGACCTAAAAGAAACTTCTTTTTACACAGTATTTTCAGGGAGTTCATTGATTGGATAAGAGGAAATAGAACGCACCTTTTATCTGAGTGTTACTAAAATGCCAAACAGGTTAAGTGTTTTAAGTGCCAAAAAGTTACAGTCCAAATCCAAACAGAAAGCTCCTGTTTCTGTGCCATCTGGGGTCATCTGTCGCTGTGCAGAGATTGCTAAAGGCTGTGTGGGGTGGGAGCTTAGTGCAAGAATGTAAGATCCTTTGGCCTTATGACTATGCTCTGGGGCATGCTCTGTGTTGCAGTGATCCCAGACTCTCTGCAGACCACCGCCATGCCCCAGACTCTGCACAAAGTGGAGCAGGACCCTCTGGAGCTCACTTGTGAAGTGGCCACGGAGACGTTCCAGCACAGCCACCTATCGGTGGCCTGGCTCCGGCAGAGTGACAGTGAGAAGTTCGTGGAGGTCATTTCCCTGAGCCGAGATTTCGTGCTTCACTCCAGCAGTGAATATGCCCAGAGGCAGAGCCTTGGGGAGGTGCGGCTGGACAAGCTGGGGAGCACCACCTTCCGTCTCATCGTCTTCCACCTGCAGCCTTCCGACCAGGGCGAGTTCTTCTGTGAGGCTGCTGAGTGGATACAGGATCCCGATGGCTTGTGGTATGCCATGACCAGAAAGCGATCTGAGGGAACCGTGGTCAACATCCAGCCCACTGGTCAGTGTCTCTTGTCCCCATTCTCTACTTGGTGGTAAGGGTCGTCAGACCCTAGGAGGGTGGCCACTTCCTTCTCTGGTGATCTCTGAAAGTACTCGGGGTGAATCAGGTATCCTAAAACCTGACCTTCTAGTGAGTCACAGGGAGGAGCCACACAGACTGAATCCTGCTTACAGACATGATTTTTTTTTACCTACATGGAGTTTTACATTTTCTTGAATCCCAAATTCATTTTAAAAAGTGAGAGATTTCACATAAACCATTTGCATCTTATGACTAGGTTCCCCTTAGCCACCGTGGCTGCCCCTTTGATGTTGTCTGCTTCAGGTACCTACCAGTCCTGTTTCATTTGCAGAAGACATTTGAGATTATGAGCCTTCCATCATAGGTATGAGATTATGGACTGGAGAAATTTTAGCTTACATTACTACTTTTTCATATTAATAGTATATTTTGGTGGTGTTTTATCATCTCCAAAATACTTTATCACACATTCTTCAGTTCCTCAGAAGCTGTTTGCAGTAAGCCGGTGGTGGAAATGATGCTGAGTGCAGATTACTTTATGGTGGGGCCCCGAGAAGAGTCACAGGGCATGTTGTTGAGGCCAGTGTAGAGAGTACCAGGTTCTACCATGAACACTTTCCCCAGTGAAAGACCTGGAAAGGAGGCTCCCTGAGGAGGCTGTGCCAGGTTAGAGGTGCCGCAAGCTGATGGGGGCGCCATGGGCTGAGATCCTCCCTACTCCTCACATTAGTCACCCACAGTCTCTGACGGTACTGTCTCAGCCCCTGAGTCCAGCCAAGCTCCTGCGCAGAGCTGACGGCCGCTAGCTGCCTCTGTGGGGCTCTGGCAGGCTCTGCATGGGCCTTCTGTCCCCTGGCTCTGGATGGAGGGCTGTGCTGTCAGCACAGAGCAGTAAGGACCGCAAACCTGTCCTTGTGTTGTTACTCGCCTCTGGTGAGGGGCCACAGTGGTCCTGGTGCATGGAGGTGTGGTAGGAGATGAGCTGGGGAGACTGCGTTTCAGGTGGGGTCCCCTCTTCACGATCTCTTCCTTAACCACCCAAATGCTGTCCCAAGTCACTGCCTTGGTCTTTGCATAGATTTCCTGCCACTTGTTCTTCTGCCATTCCAGAGCAATGGTTCAGACTTACCTGACAGTATGGATTCCTGAATCATGCCTTGGTTGGGGGGTACCCGGGAAGCTGGATTTCCAGTATACTTCCCAGGCGACTCTTCTACTGTCCACATTTTGTCAAGCATAGCTCTGGAGATAATAGGGCAGAAGTGATTCTCCAGACACCTAGAGGGCTTTTATGAGAAAGTTCGGCCCCTGGGAAGGCAGCACTTCATTTCTTCTATAGGACCCAGAGCATTTAGCAGCTTTTGAATCTTCTGGTACTAAGGAATCTATGAAAGGCACTTTATATCATATTTATCCTTTCCCTTCCTGGCTGGTTTTAAGATCTGCTTCAAAAGTGTGGACCAAATTTGAGTCTTCATGCTTTTAAATTCGGTTGTATCAGTTAATCTTCTTTCTTTTAATCTTACCAATTTGGAATTAGGGATTTTTGAATTTTCTGAGCAAATGTATCCAAACTAAGCCAGTGAAGATAAACCTAGATGAAAAAAGGTTGATGACTTCACTCTGTGTCCCTGTGCCATTCAGGCTCAGTGGTTGCAGCCCCAGCCTTGCCCTCACCTAGTTCTCTTCAGCAAACATTTAATAGGTCTCCACCACACTGAAGGTGTGGTGAAGGCACTGGGTATTCAAAGGTGAATATTGCTTGGTCCCTGCGCTCAGACACTTGCCGATGTGAAAGCCCACAGCTAAGTGGAGTGTGCTAAGTGTTGTGATAGCACTGTGTGTAGAGTGCTCTGGGAACAGCGAATGTGTTCTTGCAGCATTAGGTTTTCTCTGGATGGGAGAGTTAGGGCAAATCTGGGAAAACTAACAGATTGGTGACCTGAGCTGAGTCTTGGAGCTCGAGGAGACATCAGGAGGAGAAGCATAAAGGCCTAAAATTGCTATACATGTTTGGCAAGCAGAGAGAAGTCAAGGGTGAGCAGATGTTGAGTTCTGGATGTGAGTGCTAAGAGGAGAAAGGGAAAGGTAGCTAGCTGGAAGCTCCATCTGCTATATTGTAGAGGTTGGCCTTGACTACATAGACCAACCATTTTCAAACTGCTCTCTTGGAATCTTATGAGCCCCTTAGAAGTGCCTGAGAGGCTGTGCGTGGGTGTGAGGGTTTCGTGTGTTTGCATGCACACCATAGGTTTGCTGTGAGGCTTGTGTCTTCCACCTGGGATTGTGAAGGCTTCACCAAGCCATGGGCACATTCCTGTGAGATTAGAAGAACCTTTGGATCTCAAAAGCAGAGAGCCACAGTTGTAGCCAGCCTAACTGAGGAAATGGAAGTGTCTGAAGTCTAGGGCCCCCATTTGCACGTCTTCAGAGTCATTTATGTGGAAGGGGTGCTTTTTTATCATTGATGTTGTTATAAGTGACCATAAATTGGTTGACCAGAAAGTCAGTATCTGGCAGATAACATGGATATATGTTCATCTAGGCAGAGGGTGGCAGAGTAAAATCTACTTCTTCCAACCCATGTCTCTCAGGATTGGTCCTCTGGGAAAGGGAAGCTGAGGCCACAGTTACCACATTGGAGGTGAGCCCTAGAGTTGTAGAATGTGGTTTGCTTGGTCAGATAGTTTCGGTAATAAAGGCAGGAGCTAATTTTCTGGAGAAAGTGGATGTTTGGGGCAAGACACTAGTCCATGTGGGAGGGGAGGACATGGGGAGCCTCAGGAACAGGTGGGTATAAAGCCAAGCTTGGGCTGGAGAAGAGGCAGTCGAGAGAGCCTACTTGCAATTCCTGTGTTTTCTTAGGAAAATAGGATTCTCATATGCTTGAAGAGTGCCTGGGATAGGGAAATATAAGTGGGTCATGGGTCTTCAAGATAGGATAAAGGCTCAGGAATGCCAGTGTTTGGAAGGCCAGCAAGTTTGGAGCTAGGGAAGCTATGAGGAGTGCAGACATCCCAGTGATGTCATCTTCCCTTCCATGTTCTCCTTAGTTCATTAGGGGAACAGAGCTACAGCTGGAGGAGGAGGGACCTGGGCAGTGGTTACAGCTGCAGCCCCACCCACCCAAAGTTCTGTGGTTCCATTTTCTAGGGCAGAAAGTTTTTTCCAACCCTCAGTCCTTTGTCTTACCCCCACTTGTGCCACGGGTGCCTAGGAAATAAGGAATCGACAGTCTGCACTTACACAGTGAGAGGGGCATTGTTAGTGTTGATGTAGTCCTTCCTTGGTCACCCTCTCCTGCCTGATTAAATACCCCAATCTTGAAGGGTGCTTGGGGTCATTGACCATTTCAGAGGTCAGCGGAAGTAGGACTTTCCCACTCCACTTTCCTGAAGATATCAACTGAGAGATGGTAAACACGTGAAAAAACATTCATTCGCACTTTTCCTATGTAATTCTATTAGGGATTGTCTTACCTGTGTCCTATTTCCATTATTCACTTGGGGGTGGAGAATATATTTCAATATATTCTTTTTGAGTATTTATTAGGATTGGGGTGAGTACTCAGACCACTGTGTAATTTTGTCTCAGAAATCTCAGTGGGGTAAGTCCTACAATATTACAGAAAATATTTGTAATCCTGTTGCTTAAATGGCATTCTGGGACTTTAGATCAAGGCCAGTCCTCAGTGATCTGCCATATAAGTGATGTTCCTTATTGACCTCTAGGGGTCTAACCTAGGGCTTGATAAGCTGCTAACTGCCCCATCAGTCTTGACTGGGATAACAAGCCCCTTAGACGGTCTGGGTCTTGCTACCTCTGAGTTCCCTCTATGATATTAAAGCTTCTCTGGGCCTCAGATCCCCACGGTGTGAGTTGGATTTTTCTTTCAAGACTGGTGTGGAGGTGCCTTCCCTGTAGTTAGCATTAGTAAAGAAGGCATGGTGGTGGGAATTTGCTGGCGCAGTTTGGATAGCTGAGATCCTCATTCGCCCAGAGTACATCTGCTTTGTTGCTTGCTTTCCCAGACAAAGAGTTCACCGTGAGGCTGGAGACAGAAAAGCGGCTGTATACGGTGGGTGAGCCGGTGGAGTTCCGATGTATCCTGGAGGCTCAGAATGTTCCTGATCGTTACTTTGCTGTGTCCTGGGCCTTCAACAGCTCACTTATTGCCAGCATGGGGCCAAACGCGGTGCCGGTCCTCAACAGTGAATTTGCTCATCGAGAAGCCAGGGGCCAGCTTAAAGTGGCCAAAGAGAGTGACAATGTCTTTGTGCTGAAGATCTACCACCTCCGCCAGGAAGACAGCGGCAAATATAACTGCCGTGTGACGGAGAGAGAGAAAACCATCACTGGGGAATTCATCGACAAGGAGAGCAAGCGTCCCAAGAACACCCCTATCATAGTCCTCCCCATCAGTAAGTGGAGAAATGTGCAGCTTCCTTCTCCGCCCTCTGGTCTGGTCCAATAGCTAGCATCATTTAAGAGAAGTCAGGGAGAGAGAGAGCTATGGCGGGGGAGGGATAGGCAGGGGAACTCCCTTCAGAACTGGCATAGAAAACCAGATGGCCTCTCTCCCTTCTCAAGCGCACCTACCCCCACTTAGCAACCCCCAGTCAGGCAGAGCATCCATGCCTCCTTTGCAGGAGGGACAGGGCACATCACAGATTGGAGCTTTAGGAGCTCTGCCATATAAGCGATGTTCCTTATTGACCTCTAGGGGTCTAACCTAGGGCATGATTAAATGTCAGCAGTGCCAGCTCAGCTTGGAGGAGAACCAGAAGTCCAGGACAGCTGTTTTGCTCCTGTGTGGGAATTAAGTCCCAGAAGAAGTGGGTAGATGCCTGTTTTGAAATCCCACTTGAAGTGGTTGGCCTTTACAGGAGAATTTTAATCATGAAACACATTATTAAGAAGGATTTGCTCTCTGGGTTTTTAGGGTATGAGGGTTGGCATCTTCCTAATTGTCTCTTCCCTATTGAAACTGTGTTTTTAAAAGTCAGTGGATGGAATCTCTTACACCTTCCTAGAGCATAACTTGTTAAAGCCTAGCCAATTACTGAGGTTGCTTAGGTGGGCGCCCTGCCTGCCTCCATGTAGGCAGGCATGGTCTGGGTGGGTAAACATCACGGCTGGCAGCTCAGGAGGCTACCTGTGTTAGCTCATGTTGTGTTTCATACATAGTATCAGGATGTCCTCATTAATATCTCATGTCTCTCATAGTGCCGTTTCTAGTAAAAAGAGAAATGCCCTGATTTTAAACAAGATGGTAAAGTTTTTAACTAACCTTTAACCTTTCTCAGTTGCTCAAACTGTTCTTCCTCTTAGCTTCGTAATGATCGCCTGTCCATTTTTATTTACAACTTTACATTTTCATATAGTTTTCTTCAAGTGTGAAGGAAAAAACCAAATGTAGGGGTCTTGCCACTCTTTTTTTCTTTTCTCACCAACAGGTCCCTCTCCTTTATGCTTGTTTTGGTTTTGTTCTTTAATCTCCTGCATACCTACCTTTTCACTGTGCGATTCTTTTGTTTCTCTGACTTCTTCACCTGCATTGCCTAGCATGGTGCCTGCATAGGGTAGGTGCTTGCTGAATAACTGTAGAATTGAGATTGTTGGATGCCCACTGTCTTTATTATTCTCCTGTCAGTCTGTGCTTGCCTTAACCACGGACTCTCTACTTTTAAATCTACAACTAATTCCTTATTGTTTTGTGAGGATCCTATGAAGGGCAGCCACAATGTTTACTCCCTGTACCTTTTATACTAAGAGATTTCCCCAACCCCTTCCAAGAACTTGTTTGATGATCTGTGGCCTGCTATATTGCTTTTCCAGCAGATAACTGGGTAGTTAAAGTCCCCCAGCACCACCAGATCCTGCCCAAAGGCCACTTGGGTAAGTCTGCCGAAGAACAACGATCACATCGGTAATGGTGATAATACCTTGGATTTTTATGGCGCTTTTCCTCCCAAGATCCCAAAATGCTTCTGCATATATGATCTTCCCCACCCCACCTGGCATATCCCTGTGGAGGCCAATATTATACCCATCCTATGACCAAAGAGGCCAGAGCATCAACCATACAGAGAAGTGGCTGAGCCAGTTCTGTTAGCAGTCCAGCTTGCCTGCGCTAGAAATATTTGCTTCTAATTGCAAACCCACTGCTCTGTGCTTAGCCTGTGCTACATCAGCAACCTCACGATTTGAAATTTCATTTGCAAACATGCAGTCAGATTTGCATCGGTTCTGTCTGAGTTTTCACCTAATCCAGAGAGCTTTAAATTGTTGGCTGCCTTTTCTCGGGCCTGGCAACACTTGTAAATAGTCTCAATGGGCAGTGCGGCTTTGTGCCTTATTTGCCTTTGCCTGGGCTGCCACAGTGGTTTTTCTTCTTGTAGCTCCATATCCTAACTGTGCGGTTTTTCCAGGCTTGCACAAGCAGTAGAGCACCAAACAGCAGCTGCCACAATGAACAGGCCAGGGCTTCTATTCAGAGTCCCCTGGGGTAGCACAGAGGATGGGAGAGATGCCCTGTAAGTCCTTTTTCCTCTGAAGGCAAGCAAAGGGATTTTTCCCCTTTGATGCTGAAGTTGCCTCTTTAATTCCTCACTTGGAATGATAACACTGGGATGTGTCTTCAACCTAAAGAACAATATTGTTATTATTAATGATGATGATGAAAAATAATTACCTCATCTAATACTCTCAGTGTCCTGACCCTATGAAGTAGGAACTCTCAGTGTCTCTGTTTTACGTGTGAAGCTCGGGTAAGTCAAACAAGAACCCCAAGATTACAGAGTTGGGAAGTGAGAAAATCTCCAACTCCATGTTTTTAGCCACGAGTGCTATCAGTGGGGGCTAATCAGGAGCCTCATTGTCTCTGTGAATCATCTTCGAATGGCTCCTAGGGAGGTTGCCCTCCTGGGAAAATTCCTATTCCCTACTTTGTCCAGACCTTCTTTTCATGTAAAACAAGCCAGTGGAGAATGGGGAGCAGGTGTACTCACCATGGTAAGAGCTACACACTGGGGCTCAGTGCTTGTCTTTGCCTGTTTCTGCTTGTGAGGGAAATACAGGGGTAAAAGGTTGATTCAAATGCATGGTTATGGGTGTGCGTGTGTTTCCCCTTAGTAATTGGGTGTGCCTCTTAATCTGGGATTCAATTTAATTGATCGATTTAAAATCATTTAGTGTTTCCTGTGGGCAGTGCCAAGAAAATTGGAGCCAAATTAATTGTGGTGTTTTGTGTTAATACTGTGGGCTTTTTTGACTCAATGTAGACAATTATCCAAAAATAATATATGCATAATTAAGATTAGAACATCCATGGTGTTTATTGGGAACAGTAAAATTAATCATGATCATGGTGACCAAGTTTTGAAAACCTATGTAACAGGCAGTTTATATACATTGTCTCATTAGTTTGTAATCTAAAAAACTGCACAATATAAATAACATTCTCCCTGTCTTATAGAATTTTAGTAATTTGATTGAGTGAGTTCATATTGCGGAGTGAGTAGCAAAGGAGCTAAGGCCATGGAATCCTTCCCCCAAACTTTAATGGGCAGAATGTTTCAAAGTCAAGAGCAGTCGAATCCTAGGACTCAATGTGGACAGGCAGGATGGAGAGTCGATGGCTTTGGTTATTCCCGTGTGTTAATGGGAGTATCAGAGCTTATTCCTCACACAATCTGTGAAACTAGACCGTCTGTGCTCCATTATCATCCACACCCCAGCACACATTATCTTCCTAATACTTCCCAGTGTGGCCCTAAAAGACTCAAATAGCATATTATGGATGTTCAGCTTTTACTGGACTGCTGTACCACAGAATGGCAGAAAGATTGGGGTGAAGTAGAATTTTCAAATTATTCGACTCATTGTAAATCCAAGTTAAAAATCCTTGAACCTCAGCTGAACAGAGTACCTGATAAATTATTTTATGCCCTAAGCGTAATGTCATCATATGTATTTCTTAGGTTCTGATTCAGTCTCAGGTCTTAGACCCCCATTATCCCAGGCATTATCTTTGCACACAGCAGAGGGCCTACTAGGTTTCAGATCTAAAATCATGCAACAGTACTCAGAACCATCCAGGGCCTTGCAGCAGCGTCTGAGCGCTTTCCTCCACCAAGGCTCTCAGTACCTGAGTAGGGTGACATTGGCACCCATCCACCCTTTGCATCTGTGGGGAGGGTGCAGTAGAGACCAGAAAGCCCCAGTGCAGCACTCTCTCCCTCTTCCCAGAGAGCACCATCTCCGTGGAGGTGGCCAGCAATGCCAGCGTCATCCTTGAGGGCGAGAACCTGCACTTTTCCTGCAGCATCCGCACGGCAGGCAGGCCGCAGGGCCGCTTCTCTGTCATCTGGCAGCTCGTGGACAGGCAAAACCGCCGCAGCAATATCATGTGGCTCGACCGGGATGGCACCGTACAGCCTGGCACATCCTACTGGGAGCGCAGCAGCTTTGGGGGTGTCCAGATGGAGCAGGTGCAACCCAGCTCATTTAGCCTGGGCATCTTCAACAGCAGGAAAGAGGACGAGGGCCAGTATGAATGCCACGTGACCGAATGGGTACGGGCAGTGGATGGCGAGTGGCAGATCGTGGGGGAGCGTCGGGCCAGCACCCCCGTCTCCATCACGGCTCTCGGTAAGTAAGCGTCCGCAGTCTTTCAGTGGGACCCTGAGGAAGATGACTCCTGTGTTAAGAACCTTACCTGACTTTTGTCAGTTGGAGTCCTGGCAGGAAGCAGACAGCACCTTCCAAAGGTTTAATTGAAGGGACCCTTTAGGGAAGTGTGGGTGGGGTTGAAGGGATCAACAGTGCTTGGGGGGCAGGGGGACCTCGGGGCTGGTGACAGCTGGGAGCTGCTGCTACTCCTGGGTCTGAGTGGTGGGAGTGAAGTTACAAGAATTCTGGCCAGGGAGTAAGGCCACCCAGAGGGAGCAGTGGCCCCAGGTCGAGGAAATGGTCTCTGCTGAAAGTGGCCTGGAGGAGACAGAACTGGCTGCTTTGTCCTTGGGGCTCTCCTGCCCTGAGGGTCAGGCTCAGCCCTCCTGAAGAGTTCAGAGCAGGACAGAGAAGGGGACAAAATAACCTGCTGCCCTTTATTTAGAATTTACTACCTTCCCTGGCTGAGTATAAGCATTTACACTTAATTGTCCCTTTCTGTCCTCAACTAGCCAAGAGGTAAACACTTGGCGTTTACAAGGAGACTGAGTGAGACTGGTGAACTAACCTACCCAAGGCTACTGCATTTAAGTGATAGACCCTCCTGAACCCAGGAGACCCGCAGGCTGTCTGAGTTTTTTTCGAAGCCTGGGTTTTTATCTCCTCCTCTATAAGGCCCCTCCTTAAGAAAGCCATTTCCTCATTAGCATGAAATTAAAAAGATACCTTGAGATTTGCTAAAGCCCAATAATATTAGATTTGCTTCTCACAGGATAAAGAGGCTTCTATCAACATTTATCTTCCTAATATAATCAGTCTATTAAATTTTAAAAGGCCAGTGTTCTACTTTGCTGGGAAAATAACTTGTTATGTTAGGCCCTCCTGCATATCAGGAGACTGACATTAGTTGTCCCCAAGTGACTTTGTGTCTCCCTCCCCAGAACCGGGTTGCCCTCCTTCCTCAGAGGCAGGGCGGGTAGTGCTTTGGACACACTCCACTAAAGATGGCAGCCCCGAAAGGTTATGCCCCTAACAAAGTCCTCTGTTCCTCCCAACCCCTGAGATTACGATTACATTTACTGTCTAAAAGCTTAATCCTGGAGACTGACCTGTTTTCTGCAGTAATCGTACAGCTCAGGTTTCTGTCCTTAGAAACTTGATCGAGCACTTGGTTTTCCTCATCAACTCAGTCTCTGTCCCAGGCTCCACACCGGTATGGACCCGTGGAAGTGCAGCCTGTGAGGAAAGTTCTCCATGTCCAGCAGTGGTCGTTTTCCCACTCTAAGGGGTCAGGAATGTGGAGGAATGGTTAGAGTTAGTCAGGATGCTTTCTCAGGAAATAATTTTATGGCATGAGGTTATGCTCTGAATATTTTCAGGCTCACCATGTGTCTGTGGTTCCCACAGTCAGAGGTTGCCAAGGGGCTCTGACCTGGAACCCTGACCTGGGCCTGGCTCTGCTTATGTGATCTCCACCCCTGGGGCACCTCTGGCTAAAGCCATAATTGGAGTGGCCCAAGGTGAGGGAAGGGAAGAGTGGGAGGGCACCCTTGGGTCAGTTTGCCTTTCAGTCTAACAGGGACACATAGGAATTTTCATATCGGTACAATTAGGCATGGGTCTCCTCTCGGCGGTGAGGTGACAGTGACATGTGTGCCTGAGTGAGATAACAGGCGGGCACATCCTCCAGCCGCAAGTGGGCCCGTGTGACCATTTAGTTAGGGTAACTAGGTGCTCTGTACTGTGATTGTGGCCTGTGCTGCATCAGGCCTGGACAGTGATTGACTTGGGGAGATTCTCTCCATGTCAGGTGCTGAGGCCTGGACGCCTGGTGCAGGTCTATCACCAAGGCCCTGTGTTCTGCCGCCCCCATGGCAACACATTCTACACACAGGCACACAGAGAACCGTCACAGCCACTTAACTTGGCTAGTTGAGTTTAAGGGTTAACCTTTTTTTTTTTAGGGTACGTACAACAGCTTTTGAAGTCCAAATTGAAGACCTAGAATTTTCAGCGGGTTATGCCTACTGGCTTACCCTCTCTGCATAAAGCCAAAGATTCATTCTGTGCCTAGGCTTTTACCTACTGAGTTTGAAGTACTTTTCTCCATGTCTGTTTTGTCTCTTTAACAAACTACATTTTAATAAGATACAGTGTATATATTTTTTGGGTGCCAGATGTTATGCCAAGTAGTTTACAAATGTTAACTCCTTTAATCTTCACAAGGACCATTTTACAGGTGGGGAAATAGAGGCAGAGAGAAGTAGATCGCACAATATTACACAGCTACAAAGTGTCAAAGTTGGGCACCTGACTCCAGGGTCCATGCCTTAAACCACTGCCTTATGCTTGCTTTGGGTAGAGCAACCTAAGAAGACCCCTGAAATGAGTTACACACAAGTTTGTAGCCTGACTCTGCTATTTACTAGGTAGCTTGATAGTGGGCCATTGATTTAACCTCTCTGTGCCTCAGTTTCCTCATCTGTAAGAAAGGGATAATAAGCCTACTTGTCCTAAAGGTTGTTTTGAGGGCTGTCGGCACCACCTGGCACATAGATGGCAGTAAATACTGGCTGCTCTCAGTGTACGATCATGACCGAAGTGTTAACATGAATAGTGTTTCAAAGGCCAGAGGAGCCCAGGTGCCTCACGCTGAGGGGTCAGTGTTAGTGATCCTGCTGCTGCCTGTTCATAAGGACTGCCGAGAGACTCCAACCTGCTACAGCTCAGATCCCCACTCGCCCCCAGTCCCCACCTGCTGAAGATCAGGCCCTCCTGCTGGGGGTCCCTCACTGCCTGCCTCCCTTGGATTTGAGGGAAGTGGGAAAGGAACTGGTGGGCAAGCCTGCTCTGCTCACCCTGAGGAGCGGGACGCTCCTCCATCTGCCTCCCCTTCTCCAGCACCAGTAGACTGGCAGGCCAGGCAAAGGAGGCCTTGGGGCTGGCTAGAGGCATCCCATATGATGAAGGAAACTGGCTTTGCGGCCTTTTTCTTAGTGTGGCATCCCAAGACTTCTGGGAATGGCCCTGCCTGCACGTACTCAGTCCCTGAGCTGGGCTGATGGAATGCAGATCAGCATGTGGTTTCCCTGGGATGGGTTTGCGAGTGCTGCTCAACGACAGGTGCCTCTGGCCTCTTTCTGTGGGGTCTCAGGGGCTGTTGGGTCTGTGCCTCAACGTGAGAGCTCAAGTAATACTGGCCTGAGGACCAATAGAGACCCACAGGCCTTGGCTCCACTCTGCCAGCTTGTGCCAGGAGCCCAGCACTGTGGCACCTCGCCCTGAGAAGGCCAGGTGTCCCTCTAGCTTCCGTCTCTCTGCTCTCTCTCCAGAAACAGGCTTCACTGTCACAGCCATCTCCCGCACGCCAGGGGTGACCTACAGCGAGTCCTTTGACTTGCAGTGCATCATCAAACCCCATTACCCAGCGCGGGTCCCCGTGTCAGTGACATGGCGGTTCCAGCCAGTGGGCACTGTTGAGTTCCATGACCTGGTGACCTTCACCCGGGACGGAGGGGTCCAGTGGGGGGATAGATCCTCCAGCTTCCGAACCCGAACGGCCATTGAGAAGGCTGAGTCCAGCAACAACGTCCGCCTGAGCATCAGCCGAGCCAGTGATACGGAGGCGGGCAAGTACCAGTGTGTGGCGGAGCTGTGGAGGAGGAACTACAACCACACCTGGACACGGCTGGCCGAGAGAACCTCCAACCTGCTGGAGATCAGGGTGCTGCAGCCAGGTGAGTGGCCGGGGGCATGTGGCTGGCCTTGGAGGATGAGACACTTGGGGAGGGAAGGAGAAGCTACACTGAGCCCTTGGCATGGCTGCTTTTATCACCCATCTTTTTAGTTTGAGAAATTTCAGATCTATAGGAAGTTGCAAGAATCATATTCCCTTTGGCGGCCAGTTAGCATCATATCACCTTTGTTCTCTCCCTCTGTGTGTATTTTTTTTGTTTTTGAATCACTGCAGATTAGTTGCTGAGGTCAGGACCCTTCTTCCTAAATATACGTGTATGTATCTCCTAAGAACAAGGACATTCCCGTGCCCAGACCCCGGGAATTCCACATGACTGTGGGACCTTACTAACATTTCCCCAGTTGCCCCAACAATGCCTTTTATAGTTTTTTTTCCCATCCAAACCAGTATCCAATCAGGGGTCGATACCATTTTTAGTTGTCATGTCTCTACAGACTCCTTTAATTTAAAACAGTTCTGCAACTCTGCGCACATACGTGTGTGTGTGAAATACTGACATTTGTGAAGTGTCCAGGCCCACTGGATTACAGGGTGCTGTCTCTTTACCTAATGTCATCTCCTGTAATCCTTGCAGCAATGATGTGAACAAGGTATGGTTACTCTGTTTGCAGACAAAGAACTTAGGAGGGGAGAGGGAAGGAAACAGGAGGGGAGAGGGAAGGAAACAGGTCTTACTGAGCATCTGCTTAGTGCCAGGTGCTCAGGGTTCAGTTACTCCATTAGAATTTCACAAAAACCCTAGGGAAGGTGAAGTGACTGACCCAGGGTCATGTAGCTGGTAAATGGTGGGGCCGGGGGTTGAACCTCTGTCTGTGTATCCCCCACGCTGTTTCCCATATGCCCACACCCTATCCTCATGCACTGAGTTTGGGCTCCCTTCTCCAGTGGAGGCTGAGGCTCCCCCCAGCAGATGGTAAGGATGCACTAATATGGGGAGCCTTCATCAGGGGGCTTTCCTGCCCACATTCACCTTCCCCAGGCCCTTTTCCTGTCATGAGGGCGTGGTTAAGTATGTATCACCCTTCTGGTTTTCTTGGTGTCTCCTACTTGGTTGGAAGCTGGTGGAGGGTGGCACCCGGGCTGTGGGCCCCGCTTACCCCCCCGTAGCCTGTAGCCCCACCTCCTGACAGGAGGGCACAGGCACCACGCAGGGAAGGCTGGGGATGACTTTGCAATGACTTTCTGCTCCACCCACTTAAAAAGATGGTTTGAACACCTCACAAAGAGGATTTTCCTACCTATTCACAACCATGTTAGAACCCAGCGCTGTCTCCTCGAGCACTTCACATGGTTACTGTGCTATTTTCATCAATGTGCGCTTATGTAATGGTAACACCTGAGTTCACCCTTTGCCTCTTCTAACCCCACAAGCATCCTCTTCTGTAGCAGAGTTTGGAACAGCCAAGTTACATAATGAGATGGTTCCTTGGCCCATGAGAGATGCTCAGGGAAGAGGCTGTTCCGCCTTCAGTGGACTTTCAGGTTAAGGGAAGGTTAACCAGAGACCCCATTTCATATGAACCCTTGTTGTGGAATGTGGACCTGCCTGCCTCACTGGGGAGGACATTGAGACTGGAATCTCACCTTTTGTGGTCTCTGCTGATCTGCAAGGTCTGCACTGTGAGCGGCTGCGCCCCCCTTGTGCTTCTGAGCTGGAGAAGGTAGAGAAAGTGCTGGCCCCAGGACCTTGCCTGACATTTCCTTTTTGAGTAAACCGTTAGTATTTGCTTGTTTGTTACTAAGAATCTATGACAGGTGCACATAAGGGGAAAATAAGGAATTAGTTCATGACATTTCCTTTTTGAGTAAACCGTTAGTATTTGCTTGTTTGTTACTAAGAATCTATGACAGGTGCACATAAGGGGAAAATAAGGAATTAGTTCACAGGAGGTTCAAGTTATTGGGATCCTAATTAATTTTTGGTGTTACTAAGGGGATATAGGGACAAAACTGTGTGAAGTACCTCTTGGGTACCAGGCTTTGGACGTAGTACTTACGTTTTCTTTTTTTTTTTTTTTCTGTGTGTACCTTTTTTTTTTTGGTATAATTAATCTACAATTACATGAGGTACTTACGTTTTCTTTTAAAATTCCTCCAACAGTGAAGTAAGGTAGATGTTTGTATCCTCATGTTGGTTTCCCCGTGAGGAAACCAGGCTCCCGGTGTTCAGGGGCCTCTGTGGAGGCAAAGCAGCTTCTCAAGTGGATCCTGAGATTGGAGCTGTGTGTGTGCCCAGGGCTCTCTGACTTCCATAAATCTCCACTTTCCACCACACTGCTGTATTGCCTCCTAGGCAGGAAAAGTAGCTGGAGAGTTAGGCGACATGGGATCTGCTCTGAGGACTGTTTCGTGTATTGCGTGGCTTATGCTGAATCGGTGTTTTCACTATGAATCGAGCACAAGCGGCAGCAGGCACTCGAGACTGGGGCTGCCATGGTGTTTGGGCTGTCTGCATGAGGCCGGTTCCCAGAGGGGCACGGTAATACACTTCCCTGGCCTCTGGGGACTGCAGGGAGCGAAGGTAGGCACTGAGGCCGCACAGCTCAAGGAGTGGCTGGGGCACTGGAGAGAATGCATCCCTTAAGTGTTACTGTCTCTCCTTTGTTAAATATTAATGAACTTAGCACTTAATATTTTCCAAAGAGCTTCAGGTCCATTTTTATTTTTTTCCACACACTCTGGTCGGTACTGGTGCTTTTATTTTGGGCAAGTACAGTGGAAAAATACCACAAAACTGACAGTGTGCCAGAGAGTGGACACTTGTATGTCATCTGACTTCATCTTCCCTGTGACCTGGGGGGGGAAGGTATTGCTTTCCCATTTGATTGATAAAGTAACTGAGGCTCAGAAGGCTCTGGCTTGCTGAAGTCTGATAGTGACTGGGAAGTAGGAATTTGAACCCAGGAGTGCCTTATTAAAAATCAGTTGCAGTGGACAAGAGAGACTTTAACCTTTTTAAGGTCATGTAATCAGGAAGTATTCTTTGTAATAGAAGAGGCTTCTTGTAGATTGTTGACGTGGAGGAGTCTGAACCCTGGTGGCAGTTGTGGTGACAACAGTAATAGCTAATATTTACTGAGCATTTCTTGTGTGCCCATCACCATCCTGAATGCTCTTCGTGTAATAACTTATTTCTTAGTTAATCCATGCAATGCCACAAGGGGGTAGTGATTCACCCATTTTACAGATGAGGACACTGACTCCGAAGTTAAATAAATTATCCAGTGATTCATAGTAAGGGCGGAAGCAAGATTCAAATTCAGACAAACAGTCTGGCTTCAGAGCCTGAGTTCTAAATTTTATTGTATTATGGTATTTTCTAGGCAGTGTTTTTTCCTTCTCAGTAATCCTCTTGGGTATCATGAACTGTTATTTAGTCTCACTTCTTTCTGATTTACCATCCCTGATTTCCTAATCCCCTTTAGCAAATACTTAAGTTTGTTTTTTTAAGTTGAGCTCAAAGGTGCCCACAGAGGCTCCCCCAGACAGCTTGCTGGCGGCGTACAGGTGTGGTTCGTACCTCCTCTTGCTCCTCTGTTTCTGCTAACTTCTGCCACAGATGGCTCTAACGCTTGGGCACGCTGGAGTTGAAAACCACACTGGCTTCTCATCTTTCTACCCTCCCTCCATACCTTGCCTCTGAAAACACGGACTCTTACTCTGCTCCGGTGTTTTCCGTAGCAATGAACCCCACCATGTCCTCTCTCTCCCCACTCTTAAAGAATACTTTGTTGAATAGTTTTATTCCAGCATAATCAAATAGAAACCCTGGGTACTGCTGACTCACTCATGCTGGTCCCTTTATCGGCCTTCCACTGATGGTGTCATCTGCTCCCAAGACAGCTCCGTGTGGTTTGTGCCCCAGAGCAGTTCTTGCCAGAGCTACCTGCTGACCTGACCGCATCATGGGTATTTGATTCATTAAAATCTCTGGCTGGGTGGCATGACTGACTTGCTGTAGATCTATTATTGACCATTCTCTTTGCATGCTTCCTGTTCCAGATGCACATCCCCAAGGAAGTCTTCAAGGGACGCCATCACTTCTGTTGATTTAGCTTAGCTTTCTTCCAATTGATCACAGAGTGTGACCCCCAAGGGGCACTTAGGCAAGACTTTAAGCCGGTTCAACATATTAGATTCTTAGCTCGTAATCAATTCTTTTCTCTTTTAATTTTGAAACATCACTCTGCTTCCTTCTGATTTTCTTTAGCACCAAAAACACCCTCCAATTACATATACCTAAATACAGAAGCAATAAGGGAAATGTCAGCTCTCATTTTCCAAATGTTTATGACCATATCTTGGTCTGGCTATTAAATATTGCACATTAAATTGACAAGCAATAAACAAGCTTCCAGGAGGACAGCCTCCGGTGTAGAAAGCCAACTTGTCAGTGGGTATATTCTGCTGGGATTTTACTGATGGGTAGTTTGGATGAATATTTAATACTCTCTGGATGCTGCCAAATCTGTTTTCTCCGATTTCTTATTGCTGACCTGGCAGATTGGGAGAGCTGGGAGCTGCTTCTTTGACTTCCCTGAGTCCAGGGTATGTGAACAGTGGTTCTTCTTGTCACAGTCTAGTAGGTGACAGACAGGATGCCCCATCCTGCAGAGAGATTGGTCTCTACTTTCTTTCTTTCAGAACCTTCTGTCCCATGTGCACGTGGCTTCTGCCTGCTGAGTGCTCAGAGGCAGAGTGAATGTGAGTCCAAGAGCCCTAGAGGGGTCCCCAGCCCTCACTCACCCCACAGGCCTCATTGCCACGGTGATAGCAGGTACACCTGTTTGTAGTCAGTGAGCAGGGTCACTGCTCTGTCTGCAGGCAGGTAGGGCACACAAGGCATGTCTGGGCTACTCCTTATGAACTGCTTCCACGTCCAAACTCCTGCTGTTTTCTCCTTGCTTCTCCCTCCCAGTGCCTTTTGCAAGCGTGTTTGAGTACTTGCTGTGTGTCCATTTTGGTGCTGGGCTCTGCGGC